ATCGCCCTGCGGCTCTGTGTGTGACAGGGGGCAGGGCCACAACCTCCCTATTGGCCCTGCTCTGTTCGTGACAGGTGAAGGCGCCCCAACCCCCTGATTGGCCCTGCTCTGTGGGTGATAGAGGGCGGCGCCCCAACCCCCTCCCCCCCACGGGCCCTGCTCTGTGTGTGATGGGGTAGAGCCATAACCTCCCCATTGGCCCTGCCCTGAGTGTGACAGTGGCGGCGCCCCAACCCCCTGATCGGCCCTGCTCTGTGGGTGATAGAGGGCGGCGCCCCAACTCCCCTATCGGCCCTACTCTGTGAGTGACAGGGGGGAGCTCCTCAACCCCCTGATGGGCCTGCTCTGTGCGTGACGGTACGGAGCCCCAACCCCCCTGGTGGGCCCTGCTCTGTGCATGACAGGGGGTGGCCCCGCAACCTCCCCATCGACCCTGCCTTGAGTGTGACAGGGGGCGGTGCCCCAACCCCCCAATCAGCCCTACCCTGAGCGTGACTGAGGGTGGCATCGCAACCTCCCAATCCGCCCTGCTCTGTGCATGACGGGGCGGCGCCCCAACTCCCCAATCAGCCCTGCTCTGAGCCCAACCAGGGGCTGCACCTAGGGATTGGGCCTGCCCTCTGCCACCCGGGAGCGGGCCTAAGCCAGCAGGTCGTTATCTCCCAAGGGGTCCCAGACTGCGAGAGGGCACAGGCCGGGCTGAGGGACCCCCCTCCCCCCCGAGTGCACAAATTTTTGTGCACCGGGCCTCTAGTACCAAATAAAAGTCCTGATGAGAAAGGTGAACTGTGCCATGTGACTTACACTCTTGCCTTTCTTTAAAGAGAGGGGTTAGATTAGTGCAGGTTCCTGGCCCCTGTCACATAATAACTCATTCTATTCCTGTTGGCTGTTCTCTCTTCTTTAGTTACTTTTAAACTTTTCTATGATTTCTTTGATTCTCTAGTTTCACTTTTTGTCTCTCCAGACCTCCCCTCTGCCTAATGGAGAAACACCTTGGGGATGAGACCATTGTCCCCAAGCATATCTGCAGACCCCCTCCCAGCCCCCCCTTTCCAGCACCACCGTTTCAGGGCAGACCCAGGGCTCGGCCGGAGGGTGTGCCCAGCTGCCCTGCAGCCCAGCTCCCCAGGGCGCCCCATCACCGTTCTCACTTTCAGTCCCCCCAGGATGCTGCGGTGCCCCAGTAGCAAGCAAGAGGCCACTGTAACGCAGATGATATTGTCTTGAGAAAGTCTTAAAGTGTCGCCAGGTCCTGGTGGGGTGGTTTGGTCTGGAGTTGGCTTCAGCCTGTTGCTCCTGGTAGTAGCCCCTAGAACCTCTGTGCTGTCCAGTGGCTTGGCGTGTGCGTGGCGTGTACATGGCATGTGCGTGGCATGGACACTTCCTAGGGAAGGTGGGGACACTGCAGAACAGTGAGCCAACCTTGCCATGGGCAGCGGAGGGCTCTGAAGAAATACTTTCTTTTTATCTCTCTGAGTTTAAACTACTTTTTGTTGCTGGAAGGTGTAACCTTGAGGAAGTCAGTTAACTTGCTATAATTTTTATTTACACAAATATGGTTATCATGAATCTTAAACATGATACATGTAATATGCTTAAAACAGCCCTTGGCCCATAATAAAGTAATAAAGTAGCTGTTATTATGTTTATAAATGGATGTCAGTGCCTTCCTATAAAAGAGGATTTTGTGCTTTTCTAAGATTTCTAGCATAATTTTGAACACACATAAACATCTTTTTAAAAATTTTTTACTTTTTGATTGATTTTAGAGAGAAAAGAAGGGAAGGAGTGAGAGAAAGAGGGAGAGAGGGGGAGAGGGAGAGGGAAAGAGAAAGATTGATTTGTTGTTACACTTATTCATGCATTTACTGTTTGATTCTTGTATGTTCCCTGACCAGGGATTAAACCCACAACCTTACCTTTTCGGGACAATGCTCTAACCAACTGGTCCAGGGCTACATAAACATCTTTCCATTCTTAAATACTTTTTATATAACCATTTCAGTAGCTGTATATTACATTGTGCCAATGTATTATAATTTTTAAAAAATCTTTATTGTTGAAAGTATTACATAGGTCCTCCTTTTCCCCCCATTAACCTCTTCCAGCCCGCTCCCACCCACACCCCCCTCAGCCCTCACCACCCCACTCTCTGTGTCTGTGAGTTGTGCGTGTACACATATGAGTTCATTGGTTGGTCTCTTCCCTGCCTCCACCCTCCCCTGCCTTCCCTCTGAGGTTTGACAGTCTGTTCAATGTTTCTATGTCTCTGGATCTATTTTTGATCATTAGTTTATGTTGTTCATTGAACTCCACTTATGAGTGAGATCATGTGATACCTTTCTCTTACTGGCTTATTTTGCTTAGCATAATACTCTCCAGGTCCATCCATGCTGCTGCAAGTGGTAAGAGTTCTTTCTTTTTATTGCCACGTAGTATTCAGGTGTGTAGATGTACCACAGTTTTCTAATCCACTCATCTGCTGATGGGCACTTAGGCTGTTTGCAAATCTTAGCTATTGTAAATTGCACTGCTGTGAGCATAGGGGTTCATATATTCTTTCTGATGAGTGTTTCGGGTTTCTTAGGCTATCTTCCTAGAAATGAGATCACTGGGTGAAATGGGAGTTCCATTTTTAATATTTTGAGGAAACTCCATACTGTTTTCCACAGTGGCTGCACCACTCTGCATTCCCACCAGCAGTGCACGAGGGTTCCTTTTTCTCCACAACCTCACCAGCACTTGTCATTTGTTGATGGTAGCCATTCTGACAGGTGTGAGATGATCTATCATTGTTGTTTTGATTTGCATCTCTTGGATGATTAGTGACTTTGAGCATGTTTTCATATGTCTCTTGGCCATTTGTATGTCCACTTTAGAGAAGTGTTTGTTTAGGCCCTTTGCCCATTTTTTAACTGGATTGCTTGTCTTCCTTTTATTAAGTTTCATGAGTTCCCTATATATTTTGGAGATTAACCCCTTATCGGATGTATCATTAGCAAATATGTTCTCCCATGAGTGGGCTCTCTTGTTATTTTGTTGATGGTTGTTTTGCTGTGCAGAAGCTTTTTATTTTAATGTAGTCCCATTTGTTTATTTTCTCCTTAGTTTCCATTGTCCTAGGAGAAGTATTGATAAACATGTTGCTACAAGAGATGTCTGAGATTTTGATGCCTATGGTTTCTTCTAGGATTTTTATGGTTTCACGTCTTACATTTAAGTCTTTTATCCATTTTTAGTTTATTTTTGTGTTTGGTATAAGTTGGTGGTCTAGTTTCATTTGTTTACATATCCTGTCCAATTTTCCCAGCACCTTTTATTGAAGAGACTGTCTCTGCTCCAATGTATACTCTTGCCTTCTTTGTCAAATATTAACTGAGCGTAGTTGTGTGGGTCGATTTCTGGGTTCTCTGTTCTGTTCCATTGGTCTATATGCCTGTTCTTATGCCAGTTCCTGGCTGTTTTGAACACAATTGCTTTGTAGTACAACTTGATATCTGGTATTGTGATTCCTCCAACTATGTTCTTCTTTCTCAAGATTCCTGCTGCTATTTGGGGTCTTTTTTGGCTCCATATAAATTTTTGGAGTGTTTGTTCTAGGTCTGTGAAATATGCCGTTGGTATTTTAATAGTGATTTATTGATTCTGTAGATTGCTTTGAGTAATGTGGACATTTTAATGATGTTGAGTCTACCAATCCATGAACATGGTATAGCCTTTCACTTTATACCTTGAACTATCTCTTTTTTCAACGTCATGCAGTTTTCAGAGTACAGGTCTTTTACCTCCTTGGTTAAGTTTATTCCTAAGTATCTTAATTTTTTTGTTTCAGTGGTAAATGGGATAATTTTTTTTTATTTCTCTTTCTGAGAGTTCACTGTTGGTGCATAAAAATGCCATGGATTTTGGGGTGCTAATTTTGTATCCTGGTACATTGCCGAATTCTTTATTAAATTTAGTAGTTTTTTTATGGAGTCTTTAGGGTTTTCTATGTACGGTGTCATGTCATCTGTGAATAAAAGTATCAGAAAACCTGAATAGGCTGATAACTACTGATGAAATTGAAGCAGTAATCAAAAAACTCCCAGCAAACAAAAGCCCTGGTCCAGGTGGATTCACAGCGGAGTTTTGCCAAATATTCAAAGAAGAACTAACACTTACTCTCCTCAAGCTATTCCAAAAAATTCAAGAGGAAGGAAAACTTCCAAAGTCTTTCTATGAGGCCAGCATTACCTTAATTCCAAAACCAGATAATGACACGACAAAGAAAGAGAACTACAGGCCAATGAACATAGACACTAAAATCCTCAACAAAATTTTAGCAAATCGGGTCCAGAAATACATTAAAAAGATCATACACCATGACCAGCTGGGATTTATTCCAGAGATGCAAGGCTGGTACAATTATTCGCAAACCAATAAATGTAATACATCATCTAAACCTATTGCAAGACAAAAATCATGTGATCATATCAATTGATGCAGAAAAAGCATTGGACAAAATCCAACGCCCTTTTTTGATAAAAACCCTCAACACAGTGGGACTAGAGGGATCAGACCTCAGCATAATAAAGGCCATATATGACAAACCTACAGCCAGCATCATACTCAATCGGCAAAAGCTAAAACCATTTGCCCTAAGAACAGGAACAAGACAGGGAGGCCCTCTTCTGCCACTCTTGTTCAGCATGGTACTGGAAGTCCTAGCCATAGCGATCAGACAAGAAGAAATCAAAGGCCTCCAAACTGGAAAGAAAGATGTATTATAATGTAATGACCAGTCTCTGTCCTGTTCTGGTGCAGTCCGTTTGAAGGTCTGTATGTCTCTGTGTGCCGCTGTCTTTTCCATCTGAATTGCCACTTATCCTGCATGGTGGGCCCTTGGCATTAGGGGTGGTGTCTGCTAAGCAGATCTGTGTGTGGCCAGCTCCTGGACCAGGTGCTTAGGGAGTGATGCTTAGTGATGCACACCTTTGACAGATCTCTTCTTTTTCCAGGACAGCAGGGCTCTTCAGTTTGATTGACACTCTGTGGCCTCCAGTGGTACCTCTAAAAGCACCTGGCCACGGCCAGGCCTGTGAAGAGGTAAGCTCAGCATCTGAGGGGGTCCCCCCGGTCGCCACCTGCTCCGTGCCAGGTGCTGCGCCAAGCGCTGCCTCCACAGCCCGCATCCCCGAGAAGCCAGGGCCAGTGCGCATGAGCCATGACAGAGAGTCAGACCCACTCACATCCTTGCAAAGCCCAAGCTCCGGTTGCTTTCCTTCTGCGCTTCAGTGTATTCTTCTTGAGGTTAATTGGATGGTGTTTTTAAACCACAGTTGTTAGGGTCATCCCATTAGAGCTTGCAGTGAGGGTCTTAGCCTCATACTAAACAAGACACAGAACACCACCCGCTTCCAGTCATCAGTAAACCAACACTCAGTTACCAATGAGAGCGGAAACTCATAAAACCCGATAAATAAAATCCATGGGTATTCATACAGCCGACAAGTTAGCCAGGAATTTCCATTTTCCTGCCTCATCATATTATTTACAGTAGTTGCTCACAGGTAGAAAAAATGACTGATTAAAATGTGTCCCCTTTTGTGTACCCTAAGCATTCTCCACTGGGCTGGTCAGCATTGCTTTGGGCTATAGTTCCCAATGCTGAAAACTGGGGTGGTCTTGTTTGTGTGGTAGCTGACTTCTTAGCAAAGTGCTAAGAGTATGACTCTGGACTGTGCTGGATCAGCAAAATTGCTGTCAAAAATTCCCATTTCCAATTAAAAAAAAAAAGCCGTGATACATTTACACAATGGAATACTACTCAGCTATAAAAAGTAAGGAAATCTTACCCTTTGCAACAGCATGGATGGACCTGGAGAGCATTATGCTAAGTGAAATAAGCCAGTCAGAGAATGACAATACTGTATTATTTCACTCATGTGTGGAATCTAATGAACAAAGTAAACTAACAAAATAGAAACAGACTCATAGAGAACAGACTGACAACTGTCAGGGAGGGGGGTTGTGGGGATGGGTGAAAAAGGAGAAGGGATTAAGAAAACAGAAACTCATAGACACAGACAACAGTATGGTGATTGACAGGGAAGGAGGGTAGCGGAGGTAAAAGAGGGTTTTGGGGGGATAAATGGTGATGGAAGGAAACGGGGTGGTGAACACACATCACAATATACACATGATGTATTATAGAATTGTGTACCTAAAACCTATATAATTTTGTCTGCCAATATCGCCCCAATACATTCAGTTTAAAAAATACTCATTTCCAGATTATTTGAGAGAATGTTCTCAATTGTGTTTTAAGTATACTTTGAAGAATAAATTTCTAAAATGAAATCTGAATCAGTAATAAATTCAAAAGTACAAATTTTTATAATTGGTCCCAGAGATAAACAACATAACCTATTTATTATATAGGTATTTCTTATCAGCCTTTCAGAGACAGTATTCACCTGTGAATAAAAATGTATAAAGACTACATTTCATACTTGAGTCTTTAACGATGCATTCACGTGCTACTTCTGCCCTGTTTCAAACAGGCAAACACTCCTCTGCCTCCTCGCTTCTGTTATGTCCTCACTGCTCACCCCACACTGGGACAGATTGATATCATTGAAGACCCTGTCTCTAAGCTTTACCAGCCCCCAGCTCCTTGCTCCCTACGAGAAATTCTCCAGGTAATGTCTTTATTTCTAACAAGGCCTTCAGTTACTTTGTTTTTTAATTTGTGTGCTTTGTGTGATGTTACAAATCTTTTTCAATGCCTTTTCAGACTGGTGATCTTGGTACCCGTTGCAGTTTCTATGCCAGAGTGATTTATCAAAGACCATTGGTAATCTCTGTCTCTCTCTCTCTCTTTTTCCCCTCATAACGTGTTGTAATGCATAAGGTGTTATATAGTTTATTAAAGGATCATTCATCCCCCTTAGAAATTAATGGAGCATCAAGATAGAAAAGCATTTTTGGAATTGAGTTACGCACACTTGGTGCTGAAGAGGGCATACGCCACTCCTTGAGTAGGTGTGGAGTGCCGGCTACTGCGCTAAGAACTGAGGCATAAAACTCGGGTAACTCTGCCCGGTGACCGTAGTTCCTCTCTGAGACATGGGCAGGTTGAAGAAAAGTAAGAGAAGCTGAAACTTCAGTCTTGGAGTGAAAGTGGGAATCTCAGGATTGAGCTCAGCCACTTCTCGGAGCCAAGTCTTCAGTGTCTGCGAGCTGGACAGCTGCGGGAGCCCTGCAGGCCTCAGCCGTGGGCAGGTCTCGGGAGGGCGGCCTAGAGGGGCTCGTTGTCCGCTTCGCAAGTCAGCTAAGAGGAGACAAGTAAGGAGATGCTTTTGGCACGTTCAACCCGTGATGTACGTTTCACAAGAAACCTCTGCTGGGCCGTGACTTAGAGGAACATGCATCTCAGTCCCCTGGATATTATTTCCACCATAAATTGATAATTAATCTACCCAGGACTCATTTATTTTTTATTTGTTTTTAATATATTTTATTGATTTTTTACAGAGAGGAAGGGAGAAGGATAGAGGGTCAGAAACATCGGTGAGAGAGAAACGTCGATCAGCTGCCTCCTGCACACTCCCTACTGGGTATGTGCCCACAACCAAGGTACATGCCCTTGACCGGAATCAAACCTGGGACCCTTCAGTCTGCAGGCCAATGCTCTATCCACTGAGCCAAACCGGTTAGGGCAGTATTCTTTTTTTAATTTTTGATATTATAGATGTCCACCATTCTACCTTTTTTGCCCCCCTCTATTTAATCCCTACCCCACCCCAGGCCTTCCCCACGTTGTTATCTGTGTCCATGGGCTATGCATAAATATTGTTTAATCCTATCACCTTCTATTATCCCTTCCCCTCTCCCCTCTGTTACAAGTTTCCATGCCTCTGGTTCAATTTTGTTCATCAGTTTATTATGTTCATTAGAGTCCACATATAAATGAGGTCATGTGATATTTGTCTTTCTCTGATTGGCTTATTTCGCTTATCATAATAATCTCCACATCCTCCATGCTTATCTTTTATGACCTTGATATTTTTGAAGAATAGAGACCAGTTACCTAATTGAATGTCCCTCCATTTCTATTTTCCTTTTGTTATCTCATGAATATATTCAGATTATGCATTTTTGACTGGAATACAACATAAAAATATTGTGTTCATGTCAGGAGGCACACAGATTTGTCCCAGTGCTGTGATATTTTATCAATTGATTAAGATGTTATTTTCCAGGTTTCTCCACTATAAAGTTAATAAATATTGCATAGTAATTAATTAGTAACTCTCTAACAAATATTTTTTAGGAGGACACAGTGAGACTATGTAAATATCCACCATCCACGCCAGCGGGTTCCCCGGCCCAGCCCCACAGAGCACCAGGGTCCTCCCCGCCAAACCCTTGACCCCATTTGCATCTACTGAATCCAAAACTTTGATCAAGAGGAAAGGACAGAATGCCACTAGCATAAAATTGAAAGGGTATTAGAACTTTATCAGATAAAAAAAGAAAAAGGAAAAAGTATAATGAAAGAAGAAAGAAAAAAAGAGAAAAACAAAAACAAACATTTGATACCTGCTTTATACCAAAATCTGAGAGCAAATAAGATGTAGTTCTGTCATTCTCAGTTTGGGCTTCTGTAATAAATACCATAGAATTTGTGGCTTAAACAGCAAAGATGTGTCTCTCAAAGTTCTGGAGTATGGAAGCCTGAGATCTAAGTGCCCGATGGTCAGGCTCTGGGTGAGGGCTCTCCCCTGGGTTCACAAAAGGACGACTCCTGTGTCTTCACAGTGTCGAGAGCAGAGAGGCAGCCAGCTCTCTCCTGTCTTTTTTTTTTTTTTTAATTAAATCTTTATTGTTCAGATTATTACATTTGTTCCTCTTTTTTTTCCCCCCATAACTCCCCTCCTCCCAGTTCCCCGCCCCACCCTCCGCCCTCACTCCCCACCCACTGTCCTCATCCATAGGTGCACGATTTTTGTCCAGTCTCTTCCCGAATCTCCCACACCCCTTTCCCCCAAAGAATAGTCAGTCCATTCCCTTTCTATGTCCCTGATTCTATTATAATCAACAGTTCATTCTGTTCATCAGATTATTTATTCACTTGATTCTTAGATTCACTTGTTGATAGATGCATATTTGTTGTTCATAATTTGTATCTTTACCTTTTTCTTCCTCTTCCTCTTCTTAAAGGATACCTTTCAGCATTTCATATAATCCTGGTTTGGTGGTGATGAACTCCCTTAGCTTTTCCTTATCTGTGAAGCTCTTTATCTGACCTTCAATTCTGAATGATAGCTTTGCTGGATAAAGTAATCTTGGTTGTAGGTTCTTGGTATTCATCACTTTGAATATTTCTTGCCACTCCCTCCTGGCCTGCAAAGTTTCTGTTGAGAAATCAGCTGACAGTCGTATGGGTATTCCCTTGTAGGTAACTGAGTTTCTTTCTCTTGCTGTTTTTAAGATTCTCTCTTTATCTTTTGCTCTTGGCATTTTAATTATGATGTGTCTTGGTGTGGTCCTCTTTGGATTCCTTTTGTTTGGGGTTCTCCGCGCTTCTTGGACCTGTAAGTCCATTTCTTTCACCAGGTGGGGGAAGTTTTCTGTCATTATTTCTTCAAATAGGTTTTCAATATCTTGCTCTCTCTCATCTTCTGGCACCCCTATAATTCTGATGTTGGTACGCTTGAAGCTGTCCCAGAGGCTCCTTACACTATCCTCGCATTTTTGGATTCTTTTTTCATTTTGCTTTTCCGGTTGGGTGTTTTTTGCTTCCTCGCATTTCAAATCATTGACTTGATTCTTGCGCTCCTCTGGTCTGCTATCGGGAGTCTGTATAATATTTGTTATTTCAGTCCGTGTATGCTTAATTTCTAGTTGGTTCCTCAATATAAGATCGAGGGTCTTATTAGTTTTCTTGTAGATCTCATTAAGTTTATCGGCGGCTTCTAAACAGTTCTTGAGAGACCTTAAAAGTGTGGTTCTGAACTCTATATCTTCCATTGACAATTTTGTCCTGTTTCTTTGTCTCCGCATTTTGTTATGCTTCCTTGGTGCACCTCCTAGTGGTCTTTGTTCGCAGTCTTATAGTTAAACCTTGATTGTTGTAGCTAATACCAGGGAGGGTTTGACCTCCAGGCCAAGTGGCTATGAGAATCAGCTGTGACAGCAGTGAGAGAACTTCTGTCCTCTAGGGAGGTGCTAATCTCTCTCCTGTCTTATAAGGGCACTCATCCCATTATGAGGACTCCACTCTTTTTTTTTTTTAATATATTTTATTGATTTTTTTACAGAGAGGAAGGGAGAGGGATAGAGAGTTAGAAACATCCATGAGAGAAAAACATCGATCAGCTGCCTCCTGCACACCCCCTACTGGGGATGTGCCCGCAACCAAGGTACATGCCCTTGACCGGAATCGAACCTGGGACCCTTGAGTCCGCAGGCTGACTTTCTATCCACTGAGCCAAACCGATTATGGCGAGGACTCCATTTTTATGACCTAACTACCTCACAAAGGCACCACCTTCCATCCTTCCATGACCATTGCATGGGAGGGTAGGACTTCCACATATTAATTTGGTGGCAGGGGTTATAATCTAGCAGGACAGGAGAATGTGTATGTGCTAAATGTAAGACAGTGTGGTCATTAGCATCATAGATGTATAAACATGGCATCAAGAGGCAGAGCACAACGAGCTCTTCCTGAGCACGTCAGAGGACACGGAGAGCAGTGCCGGGAGAGGGCAGATGGGATCAGAGCGAAGGAGCCCTTTACAGGTGCACGGTTGGGGCTCACAGGGCACAGCCATGTAAATGGGACTCACAGAGCATAGCCATGTCAATGGGGCTCACAGGGCACAGCCATGTAAATGGGACTCACAGAGCATAGCCATGTCAATGGGGCTCACAGGGCACAGCCATGTAAATGGGACTCATAGAGCATAGCCATGTCAGTGGGGCTCACAGGGCACAGCCATGTAAATGGGACTCACAGAGCATAGCCATGTCAATGGGGCTCACAGGGCACAGCCATGTCAGTGGACCAGAACATGACAAGTCCTGTATGTTTTTAAATATGTTCAAGTGATGTTAATGTAAACATGTAATAATGTTCATATAAATGATGTTCATGTCAAGAACAGTCATCTAACATTGCTTTAAAAATTACTTTGATGTCAGAGTAGCTATCAAGTTCTTAGTCTTGACTGTGTCTCGTAGCTAAGCAGTATGCTTCTGGAGCAAAGGGAGATCTGGCTGACGGTGACTGACGTCACCCTGCAAGCGCAGGATGAAAGCCCCTCTGGCTTCCCCAGAACCCTGCCGGTCTGTGTGACCTCCTCGTGCGTGCTGGGCCAGGAGGTCCTGGAAGAACTCGCCAAGGCTGCCCCCCACAGCTTCTTCTTCAGAGACGCTCTCCGAGACCAGGGTAAGCTTTCTTCCTGACGGCTGTGAGCCAGCGGTGCTGTGCAGATTCCAGACCTTGGCTTTGGGCTTCCAGGTCCTGCTCAGACACTGCGGGGCCACCATAAGCCCTCCGCAGACAAGGCGTGTGGAGTGCAGAGGCCCCTGGTGCCGCCCAGGCTCTCACTGACCATGCCGTGGCCGCCTGGACCGAACCAGAACCCCTTGCAGTACGGGCAAACGGTGTCAGAGCTGCCAGTGGTCACTCTAGGACTGTCTGTTGGTGGCAAGCTTACAGGTGCAAGAGCCACTTAAGCCATTGCCTGGGACAACATTTTTTAAAACAAATGAAAAGCTACAAATTGTAAACATCTACACTTCGTCGAGGAATCAAAGTAGGAGCCTACCTCAACTATATATATATACATATATATATATACTTTCTTTTTTTAAAAAAATGTATTTTATTGATTTTTTTACAGAGAGGAAGGGAGAAGGATAGAGCGTTAGAAACATCAATGAGAGAAAAGCATCGATCAGCTGCCTCCTGCACACCTCCTACTAGGGATGTGCCCGCAACAAAGGTACATGCCCTTGACAGGAATCAAACCTGGGACCTTTCAGTCTGCAGGCCGACGCTCTATCTACTGAGCCAAACCGGTTAGGGCTATATATATTTTCTTGAGGAATAATTTTAATACCATAAAATTCACCTTTTGAGTTGAAAATGAATGTGGCATTTGTGTGTTTTTTCAGCTTGGCATGCTGGCGGCTTGGGGCTTCCTTTCTGCACAGTGCGCGTGTCACTGGACACCATGAAGGGACCCCGCAGTGGTGCCCCTGTCCCACACGACCCATAGGGACCTAGCAAAGGACACCGCCCTTCCTGGCAGAACTCCCTCTTCCCTCAGTGCTTCCGTCTGAAATGTCTCTCTCGACAGGTCGGCTTGTTTGTGGTGAGCGCACTGTCCTCTCGCTGCCAGAGCCCGTGTTGGATGTGGCCTTGGGCACTCGCTCCTGTGAGCTGCCGGGCCCTGTGAGGCTCGATGGCCTGGATTCCGTCACTCAGGTCAACTGCATCTGCAGCGTCCAAGGTGGGTAGTCGATCTTATTGGAAACGGTATTTCTATTTTCTTGAATATCACACTTGTCAGCAAGTAGTTGTTGAGTCCCTGACATGTTCCAGACGTTGGATACACAGGAGCAGCATCAGAAGGGGTTCTCGCTTCTCGGTGTGTAGTCTGTGTAGGAGGACATGTCAGACGTGCACACCGCCAGACCCCGCGCCTCAGCCTCCCCGGGCCGGGGTGCTCCGCGCCACCTCCCCTGGGCAGGGCGGTCACTGGAGTCTCCCAGGGCAGGGCGGAGCTCATGAGGTGAAGCGGGGAGGTCAGAAAGAATAGCTGGTGGGGAGAAAGCAGGTTTACAGAGGCTGCTGGAAGGACAGAGTAGGTAAGCCTGGAAGGAGGCCGAAGGCACCTGCATAGAGGGAGTGACCTGAGAGAAAGGAAGAGGGCCGGCTTGTGCAGGCCAGCGGGCTCGCTGTCAGGACCTCCCAGAGAGACAGCCTGGTCCAGCTCCCATCTCTGCAGAGCGGAGTGGAGGGCCTGGGCCTGGGGTAGCCGCCAACAGGAGGGCGAGCACCGTCTAAAGGGTGAGTGAATCTCGGAGTAGATTTCGTTAAGAAGGATTGGAAGGCCGGGTAATGAATTTGGTACAGAGGGAGCAAGGCGGATGCGGAGGAGAGAACGTGTGTGATGACCCCTAAGATTCTGGCTTAGGTGACCAACCGGCAACGGTAGCGCTCTTCAATGAAGTGGAACGTGGATTCTAGGTTTCTTGCCTTCCATATGAACTTTAAAATCAGTTTGTTGATATCTACAAAATAACTTGCTGGGATTTTAAGTGGGATGGTCTTGAATCTGAGCATGGAATATCTACCTATTAATTTTAGATCTCTAAGTTCTTTTATGATAGTTCTTTAGTTTTTCTCATCTGGATCATGTAGATATTTTGTTATAGTTTTACCCAAGTAGCTTCTTTATTTTAGCATTAATGTAAATGGTGGTGTGTTTTTTATTTCAAATTCCATTTGTTCATTGCTAATATATAGGAAAGCAATTTACTTTTGTATTTTAACCTCGTATCCTACAATCGTACTAAAATTATTTTGTAGTTTTAGTTTTTTGTTGTTGATTCTTTGGGATAGTTAACATAGAAAACTATGTCACCAGGACACAAGGACAGTTTATTCTTCCTTTCCAATCTTTATACCTTTTATTTCCTTTTTTTAATTTTTTATCTTACTGTATTAGCTAGTACTTCCAGTACTGTTTTTAATATAAGTAGTGGTAGGGGACTTTCTTGCTCTCTTCCTAATCTTAAATAGACAGTATATACTTTCTCACCATTAACTATGATGTGAGCTGTAAGGACTTTGTAAATTTGTTTGCTTCTTGTTTTATCAGTTAAATATGGTATCTCTTTATTCCTTGCTTTGTAGGAAGTGAATATTAGCTCTCTGGCCCTGCTTTTACTGCTGTCTTTGTACCACCACCATACAGCTGTTTCTGTATATTGTTGCATGATAATTTATTCCATAATCATAATTAAGCCTTGCAACTTGGTCTACAGATTAATTCTCAAAGATGAAAATCAATAAATGGTATTTTTATTATGATGATGATATATTTTTTGCCAAATGGTATGAATGGAAACATACCAGTGTTATATAATAAATGGAATGTACCGAAAGTAACCATAGAAGATGATCTTGTAAATTCTTATCTGTACAGTTCAGTCCGCTACACTCTTCACTCCTCTCTTCTTCATTACACTCCTCTCCTCTTCATTCCACTCCTCTCCTCTTCACTCCTCTCCTCTCCTCTTCACTCCTCTTCATTCCACTCCTCTCCTCTCCTCTCCTCTTCACTCCTCTTCTCTCCTCTCCTCTCCTCTCCTCTTCACTCCTCTCCTCTTCATTCCACTCCTCTCCTCTCCTCTCCTCTCCTCTTCCTCTTCACTCCTCTCCTCTTCACTCCTCTCCTCTTCACTCCTCTCAAATCCACTCCACTCCTCTCCCTCTCGCTCTCCCCCTCTCCTCCTCCTCCTCCTCTCCACTCCTCTCCTCTCCTCTCCTCCTCTCCTCTCTTCACTCCTCTCCTCTCCTCTCCTCTTCACTCCTCTCCTCTTCACTCCTCTCCTCTCCTCTCCTCTTCATTCCACTCCTCTCCTCTCCTCTCCTCTCCTCTCCTCTCCTCGTCCACTCCTCTCCGCTCCTCTCCTCACTCCTCTCCCTCTTCACTCATCTCCTCTCCTCTTCACTCCTCTCCTCTTCATTCCACTCCTCTCCTCTCCTCTCCTCTTCACTCCTCTTCACTCTTCACTCCTCTCCTCTTCACTCCTCTTCACTCCTCTCCTCTTCATTCCACTCCTCTCCTCTCCTCTCCTCTCCTCTTCTCTCCTCTTCTCTCCTCTCCTCTTCACTCCTCTCCTCTCCTCTTCACTCCTCTCCTCTTCACTCTCCTCTTCACTCCTCTCCCTCTCCTCTTCACTACTCTCCTCTTCACTCCTCTCCTCTCACTCCTCTCTCATTCTCTTCCTCTTCACTTCTCTACTCTCATCCTCTCCTCTTCCCTCCTCTCCTCGCATCATCGCTCACGCCTCTCTCCTCTCCATCTCCTCCTCTCCTCTGCTCTCCTCTCCTCTTCATTCCTCTCCTCTCCTCTCCTCTTCATTCCTCTCCTCTTCACTCACCGCTCCTCCCTCTCCTCTCTCCTCTTCACGCTTCCTCTCCTCTCTCTCCTCTCCTCTCCTCTCCTCTCCTCTTCTCTCCTCTCCTCTTCACTACTCTCCTCTCCTCTTCACTCCTCTCCTCTCATCCTCCTCTTCATCTCTCTCCCTCTTCACTTCCTCTCCTCTCCTCTTCACTCCTCTCCTCTCCTCTTCACTCCTCTCCTCTCCTCTTCACTCCTCTCCTCTCCTCTTCATACTCCATCCGCCTCTCCTCTTCACTTCTCCTCTCCTCTTCACTCCTCTCTCTCCTCTTCACCTCCGCTCCGCTCCTCTCCTCTCTCCTCTTCACTCCTCTCCTCTCACTCCTCTCCTGCTCCTCTTCACTCCTCTCTCTCCTCCTTCACATCCTCTCCTCTCCTCTTCAACTCCTCTCCTCTCCTCTTCACGCCTCTCCTCTCCTCTTCAATCCTCTCCCCTCCTCTTCACACCCCTATCCGTCACCTCATCTCCACTCCACTCCTCTTCACTCCTCTCCTCTTCACTCCTCTCCTCTCCTCTTCACTCCTCTCCTCTTCACTCCTCTCCTCTCCTCTTCACTCCTCTCCTCTTCAACTCTCTCCTCTCATCTCCTCTTCAAGCCTCTTCACTCTCTACCTCTCCGCTCCTCTCCAGCTCCTGCTTCAGTCTCTCCTCTTCAATCCACTCCTCTCTCCTCCCTCCTCTCCTCTCCCTCTCTCATCTCCTTCCTCTTCACATCCTCTCCTCTCCTCTCCTCTGCACACCTCTTCTTCACTCCTCTCCTCTCCTCTGCTCTCCTCTCCTCTCCTCTTCACTCCTCTCCTCTGCTCTATCACCTCCTCGTCACTCCACTCCTCTCCTCTCCTCTCCCCTCTTCACCACTCCTCTTCCTCTCACTCCTCTCCTCTCCTCTCCTCGTCCTCTCACTCCGCTTCCTCCTCTCACTCCTCTCTCTCCTCTCCTCTTCACTCCTCTCCTCTTCACCTCGCCTCTCCTCTCCTCTCCTCTCCTCTCCTCTCCTCTTCACTCCTCTCCTCTCCTCTCCTCTTCACTCCTCTACTCTCCACTCCTCTCCTCCTCCTCTCCTCTCCACTCCTCTCCTCGTCACTCTCCTCTCCTCTCCTCTCCTCGCCTCTCCTCTCTCCTCTACTCTCCTCTCCTCTTCACTCCTCTCCTCTCCTCTCCTCTTCACATCTCCTCTTCACTCATCTCCTCTCCTCTCCTCTTCTCTCCACTCCTCTCCTCTCCTCTCCTCTTCATTCCTCTTCACTCCTCTCCTCTTCACTCCTCTCCACTTCACTCCTCTCCTCTCACTCCTCTCCTCTCCCTCTCCTCTCCTCTTCATCCTCCTCTCCTCTTCACTGCCTCTCCTCTCCTCACTCGCCACTCCTCTTCACTCACTCCTCGCCTCTCCGCTCCTCTCCGCTCCCTCCTCTCCTCTCCTCTCACTCCTCTTCCACTCCCTCCATCCTCTCCTCTCCTCTCCTCTTCACACACCCCTCTCCTCCTCCTCTGCTCCTCTCCCTCTTCACATCCGCTCCTCTACGCTCACTCCTCTTCACGCCTCTCCTCTTCACTCCACTCCTCTCCTCTCCTCTTCATTCCACTCCTCTCCTCTTCACTCCTCTCCTCTCCTCTCCTCTCCTCTCCTCTCCTCTTCACTCCTCTCCTCTTCACTCCTCTCCTCTTCATCACCCCTCTCACCCTCCTCTCCTCTTCACTCTCTCCTCTCCTCTCCTCTGTCCACTCCTCTCCTCTCACTGCCTCTCCTCTCCTCTTCACTTCACTCTCCTCTCCTCTCCTCTTCACTCCTCTCCTCTTCACTCCTCTCCTCTCCTCTTCACTCCTCTCCTCTCCTCTTCACTCTACTCCTCTCCTCTTCACTCAACTCCTCTCCTCTCCTCTTCACTCCTCTTCACTCCTCTCCTCTCCTCTTCAACCCCTCCTCTCACTCCTCTCCTCTCCTCTCCTCTCTTCCTCTCCCCTCACACTCCTCTCCACTCGCTCTCCTCTCCACTCCGCTTCTATTCCTCTCCTCCTCTTCACTCCTCTGCTCTTCCTCTCTCTCCTCTCCTCTCCTCTCCTCTTCATTCCTCTCCTCTTCACTCCTCTCCTCTCCTCTCCTCTCCTCTTCACTCCTCTCCTCTCCTCTCCTCCTCATCCTCTCCACTCCCTCTTCCTCCTCTCACTCTCCTCTCCTCTCCATCTTCCTCCCTCTTCACTCCTCTCCTCTCCTCTTCACTCCTCTCCTCTTCACTCCTCTCCTCTCCTCTCCTCTCCTCTTACTACTTCTACTCCTCTTCACTCGCCTCGCCTCCGTCCTCTCATCTTCACTCTACTG